CCCCGGCCTCTAACGGTCACTCGCACGCGTCCCCCCTCGCGGTCCAGGGTTTCTGCTAGCTGTTGGGCTCCTTCAAGGCAGGAGAGGTTTTGTTTCTCCCCGTGAATGTTGTCTCCTGAGGAGAACTTGAGGTAGAAACAAACCCTCAAGGAAGAAGCTTGTGAAAGAAAGAGAGGACGGTCGTCCTTATCGCAAATGTAGCCCTCCCCCACCAGATCTTCACCTGCGCTCTGGTGCACCGGCTCCCCTCCGCCCCCGCCTCGCTAGCCATCGGACGGCGGAGGCAGGCTGCAGCAGTTTGTACGCGCTGTTCTACTCAGTTAATCATAAACGAAAGCAACAAAGCACGAATCTTAAATGCTAAAAAAGCAGGAAAATACGTAATTTTTAAGTACTTACATAACAAACATCGTCATGGTTAATATTGTGTTATAGTACAGTAATGTTCTTTTATCCAGCACAAAACTCTCACTAATGCATTGGTTTAGGCTATGGGCTCTCTTGGAAAAGTTACCCAGTGATGAAACATTTCACATACGCTCGAAGGCTGTGGTAACACTACACGAGATTGCTTGTAGGTCGTTATTTTAGAAAGTGAAAGACTGACTCCTGGTGGTCGGGAAGGCAATTAACCTATTGCCAAAAAGCTAAAAGCATTAAGTGTTAGGTAGAAATACCTTTCTTTTTCCCCCCTTCAGAAAGAGTTAGCGCCACACAGAGCAGCCTGCCCCTCTCATTTTCACAGCTGAACAAACAAAAGGTAACAGAGCAGAGGTACTGCATTGAGAAGAAAAAGGACGCTATTCTTTCCCGAAGGAAAAGAAAAGCAAACAAACCCTGAAACATCTTAGAAAGACATGATGATAGAAAACAATATGTAGCTGTGAGGTCCACATTATTACCACCATGTTTTCATAACCTGAACCTACCATGACTATGAGTTCACCTTAATTACAGTGAGGTTTTAAGTAAAACACTTTGAATCATTATTAGTCAAATATCGTAAGTACAAGATAACCTTGAAAGCCTTGCAAGTGCACTTAGGCTGAAGTACTACAGTACTTCTCTCTCATGCATTTATTTGTGTTTTTTTGTTGCTTATTTTCTGTTTTTTGTGCTGGTTTCAATTATTTGTATCCACATTCTTATGTTTTGCCCTTTTCCTTTTTTTTTCATAGCTCCAGAACTAATAGTCCTAAACATGTGTCTTTTTGGGTCTAGTCCTATGAACTTAGGTAAGGACTTTCATTCTCAGTAGTAAGTACTATCCCATGTAAGATGCTTGCAAGATTGAGTCTTCTGTAATAGCAAATTGAATAAGGGCTGTTGGAGGCTATTTTATTTTCATGGAAATCAATGTGCTTACCTTTTTTCCTATGTTGTTCTATACTGTTTTCACTTGTATTCAACTCCTAATTAAACCAAATATACCATTCTTACTTACAAGCAATATCTTGAAGTAGAAATTCTCTAAGCTCAGAGGTGACATATCCTGTATAAAAGTAGATATCAATATATTCTTTACAGAACCTTGGCCTCCTAACACCATTTTTTACTCAAACTTTCATTACAGGCCCATGTAACACAAATTTGTAAGTATACTTGAGTGGAGTTTGTATGAGCATATATATAACTTTAACTAAGGTATCTGGGAGAACAAAACCAAAAATAGAGCAGTATAGCAGGCTAGCTACCCAGCCCCTAGAATCCCTAGGTACGTACGCTAGTTTTTAAAGCCTTTGCTTTATAAATATATCTAGTGAGATGCATCTAACAGGCCAACATGACTAGAAACTAAAGCCCCACTGTCAAATGTTGTTTGTAGATTGCTTATATAGCTTTGATAATATTATAAATGCTTTTAGTTGCCCATTAGTTCTCATTAGTGGCAATTAGTTAGAGCCTTTGTAAGCACAGAAAATACCTTTCTCTTCTTCCCTGTAAAAATAACTACTAAACAGCCTCCATGCTTTATCAGTTCCAATATTGTCTCGTATAGCTTTTTGCGTGATTGAGCTAACAAAATTCACTTTATAAACTGCTAGCTTTCAGAATATTTTCACCTCATACTACTTTGTTATTACTATAAATTGTAATTACTATTTTTAACATTTTTGGTTATAGCAAATATCTAGGCTACAGTGACATCTTGTGGCTTTTTTAGTTTTTAACTTTAGTCTTTAACTTTAGTCTTGTCCTGTTGCATCATTTTAACACTATATCCTTTTAAATGATTATAGATTTAAGAAATCAACTTTTTGTTAAACTTTGCAAATTGGGTTGAATAAATGATAAAAAAGATTTTAAAATATGATTTTAGATATCTTTTGATTCCTGTGTGTTGGATGATCACTGATTTCTATAAAACATTCAGAGTGGATGATGAATGTTTAGATTTCAAGATATTTCTAAAAGACATCTAGCTAATCTCTTAGAACAAATCATCACGTGCATATTCTTTTGTTAAAAATATAAATTAAATTATCATTAATTGAGCCCATTAAAGAATCTTGAGGCACTTTTATAATCATCAAGGGGTAATTCCTAATTTAATTTTTTATAGTGAAATAAATAATAGCTCAGTTCTGAAGTTGGGGAAAATAAAACAGATTCCAGTGATGCCGTTTTTCTATTGTTCCTGTCAAAAAGGAGCATCTAAATTAGTGTTAAAGAACCTAACTAGTAGCCCGGTCTTTTTGTATTGGTGGGCTGCATCTGACATTAAAATATCCCTTAAAAATGTGTATTTTACATGCTGCCTAAGACAATTTGTTATTCAACTCCCAACTGGAACCTGTTATCCTGCAAGCTGAGGATGATGAGTGTTAAGAAGTTGCTGACCTTAAACAACCAACCGACCAAAAAAACCCCACATAACTCCCCCCCCCACCCCCCCCCCCCCCCCCCCCCAAAAAAAAACAGGAAAAAAACCAAAACCCTTGATTTCTGAACACAGTGAGTTGAGCTAGGGCTAAAACTGCAATCTTACCATTGAATTTTCTTTGATATTCAAGCCTAACTGCTCGAGGCTGTGTTTTTTGATGCCTTCCCTTGCCTTGTGTGCGGGCCTTAACTAACTGTAAGTGAATACATGTGCCAACAAGTACCTGTGTTTTTTAAAAAATGAGATCTTAGTGCTGCTCATGTGTATGCAAATTGCGAACATACTTCAGACATCTAACACTGGAAAACCTGGTCAATAATCTGAAAATAAATGCATAACAAATCTGTTTATGTATTTTATTTGACAGTGGTACAAATTAAGTTTACCAGTATAATAAAAACTTGTTCTATTAATTCCTTGACTAATACAGAAAAACAACACCCTCCCCCCCCAAAAAAAGAAAACTCACCCCCAAACAAACAACCTAGTACTAAGATTTGGCTGAGATGACAATTCATTTCAAATTTTAAGAGCACGTAAACAACATCTGTGAGTCTTCACAATTTTAGTTGATACTACACAGAACAGAAATTACAGAAGACCAGTAAGTAAATGAAATGCAGTAAGCTACCATTAGGAAATTTGCATTTCTGAAGAGACTGTAGATCTATTTGTGTACTACTTATCATTACAATACGATAATTAAAATCTACTTTTCACTATCACAACAAAATTAAGCAGACTTTACACTGCCATGTTTAGATTTTGACCCTTAAATCTTACAAAAGTATTAGGAAGACTTCACTGAACATAAAACAAATCCTCTAATACTGAAAGAACAGGGCGAAAGAGCCCCTCTCCCCACCAAATCAAAGACCCAACAGCCAGAATCAGCCTAGCTGTAAAGAACTTGTTACATTTTTCAAATAATCTTCTTGTTCAGCTAGCCTATTATGAAAAAAAAAGGATAAAATTATATACCATTTGTGTACTAGAAATAAGATGTTATTGATTAACCACAGATTCCTTTGCACTGGTATTGAGAATCGATTAAAAGCTGGTGCTGACATCTGCTTTGGATGCCAGATTTGATTACACTCTGTGATCCAACAAAATCACTGCCTTTGGTTCACGTCCTCCACGCTACAAAACAAGTTCTGTAATAACAATGAGAACAACTTTGTCCTGTCTAACTTAATACAAGATTTCCAGACTACACAGAGTCCAAACCTAACAAAAGCTATTAATGATAGCTCTGTTTGTTGCTATAGGTGAGGTCAGAGACTGATAATAGTCAGGCCCTGTCAAGTATCACTGTACCTTAAAATACTTTTTATAACGCTTTACCCATTCATTGCAGGACATTTTAATTCTGTTGTCATAGCCACCAAAAGCAGAGATGAAAGGAACCAAAAAGTAAAGAGACTATTCCATTGAAAGAGAGGTTAAAAAAAAGTAGACCTATATTACAAAATGTACACTCTGGACTAAATGTAAAGCAGCTTGTTCCTATTTGGAGTTCTAAATAAGACATTTTTAAAACTGAGGATTTTTTGGGGCACGTTTTTGTAACAATATACATGCAAAATATCAAAACAAAACTAAGTACTAAATGGACTCTTAATAAGCAACGTGACATCTATTTCTTTTGGCTGCATGTATAAGATTCGTATTTTGTGCATTCATTTTTCTTACATTGCCATCAGCTAGATTTTACTTTTCAAATGATGAGCATTGTTTCAGCAACTCTAGGAAAAGAAGCTGTATCAAAGAGATCACTATCCACTATCCTAGCAATAGCAGATGTTGTAGGCAGTGGTTTTAGGACTGAGATTAAGGTGTGGTACTCTTCTGGTTTGCCTTCACATCAGCTTCAGGAACATCTCAGAATACAGAATAATAGCTTATACACAAACTTCAAAGGGGTTTTGTACAGGAGCTTCGAAGCCTAGCCAACAGCTTACTGTAGCCCTTCTGTAGTTTCATGGGGACTTGGGAGGGAGGCAAGAAGGGAGAGGAAGGGAAAAGGCAGGAGTTGTCTCAACAAGTGACTATCAAAAATATTCCTAGACATCATTTGACTAGATACCTATATTACAAAAAGAAAAAAAAAGGTAAATCAAAACTCCTAATTAAGAGTGCATTTTTGTGTGCATGTTTCTGAAGAGCTGGCCTGTAATTAACTGTAAAAGCTTCTCCGGTTTTAAGGAAACAGGATAATTTTATTACACCTAAACATTAACATACAGGCGTTAGTTTGCAGAATTAATAAGAAAGGAAAAAAAATACATAAAAAGCCATATGGAAAAAATTCAGAGGCTATGAATATGGATAACCAAGAGGCAGTGATCTATACTTTATTTATCCTTGCACTTAGGACAATTCACTGAGCATTGTTTAACATCTGCCCTCTTAACCAGATTAGTTTACATTTTATTTTTGTGATTGGCATAATTAGGAAAACCAAACTGAGAAATCATGATATTAGAATATCTTAAGGGCATGCCATCATAAATATTAACCAGTTTGTTTACACAATAAGATCTCTGTAACAAATGCTCTGCTCGGTGCCACATTCCAGAATAGCCACTGTTAGTGTCTTTTTCTAAATTTCTTATATCAACAGGCTTCACAAACACTCCTGAAGACTTTCCAGTATGCTTTGCCACTAGAAAATTCATGGCAATATCATCACAATTTTGAGTTTCATCTATTAAGGCATAAACAGCTTCTGGCTGTTTTTGAAACTCCTCTAGATATCCACTGTGGAAAAATGCTGCACCAATAAGAACCATAGAATACTGATCTCCATTTCCAAATCCAGGGTTCTGCAGTTCAAAGCTGCCATAAGTGTATACACCTGAAGGAGTAGAAATGTGCTTTCTAGGAACAAATCCCACTATCTGCTCTGGAAATTGCTGAAAGAAAAAAAAAAAAAAAAGAATCCCAGACTGTGAAAGCAAAATACACCTTAAATAGTGTCATGAGACTTTGGGGTTTTTTTAAATGACAGAAGCACAAAATCATTGCCAAGAAAGACACAGAGCATGAAACTGCCAGCATATGCTCCTTAAATACAGGTTTACAAAACTGATGCAATAATGCTTCATTCTACTTCATATAGTGCCAAAAAACATCTAACCAACATTTGCAGCTGTAAATTTGGTACTCAGAATAAGTCTACAGACAATCTTTAATAGGTAAATAGAAGAAAAAAAGATTTTTGTTTTGCAGCCTACTAATACTAATCAATTTAAATACAGGCAATAGTCAACGACTTCAGTGTTCATGTATAAGAATTTGAAAAATTGAACAATTTGAAAGTTACAGACTACAGGTATAACTACCACTGAAGAAAATCTGTGCAATTTCTACTATTTAATGCTTCAAGCTTTTTAAAACTTAACTTTACAGCTAGAACAACAATGGTAATACAGTTCAACACCAACATTATAATATTACATTACTTTTTATAATTAAAAGCATTCTTCTCAATTATAATTCACAAATGCCATCTACCAAAGTAAAAAACATTACCTGCCAAACAGAGAAGGCAAAAGCAAGGTCATGCGCACTGACTAGAGTATCATCATCCATCATTAAAACAGCTGAAGGAAGGAAAAAAAAATTAAACTTGTCAAAAGATTAAATACATTAGTGCATTATGCAGTACAACATTTGACAAGGTAGCTGTGAAACTTCTATAACCACTAGGCTGAACAGCATAACCGAATCATAATTCCTTGAAAGTAGATTGAGAAAACATACGTAGATATCACAGTTAAAGCAAGGTTTCAGCTTTGTGATAAATGGAACCAAATGTTTATTTTAGATTACTTGCCATGATGTAACAAAACTCATCTCAGCAATTTCAGATCGTCTATAGTATAGCTTGGCAACTGTGTATTGGAAGTGGTGTGGGGGGGGGGGTGGGGGTGGGGGGGGGAATGTTTGGCAGAGAAACTTAAAATTTCACGAATTTTAAGCCAGCCTACAATCCAAAAAGCTATCTATCAGATATCATTCTTTAGTGCCTGAGATTAGTTACGTATAAGAAATTTCTAGTATCAGACCTCACCTATCTCCTCACTATTTGCATGCTTTAAATAAGCAAGCTTAATAAATTACACAGGTAACATTCAATATAATTAACTATAGCAGGAAGAAGCTTTGCCTTGAATTTGATGCAAAAGACTGCGTCAGGAAGGGGAGAAGGGAAGACGTTCTTAGATGAGAATTCCAGATGTGTTAAGGATTGTAAGCTTACAGTCAGTATAATCATATTAAGAGCAACAAAACATTTCGAGTTGAAGTTGCTAGCATCATCCTAGAAGTCATGGGTTGAGTAGCATGCTGAGAAGAGGGCAGTGAAACAGAAGAATTACCTTTACTAATCATGAGTAAGGCCAAGTCTGTAATGCAACATACGGGTTTTGCTCACTTGAAACAAACAGGACTTATTGTTGTGCTTCTCCTGGAAAGAGCTTAGGAAGAATATTTAGATGTACAGCCCAAAGACTGGGGAAAATACTCTTAACAGGATGCATGATTTGAGTTAGAAAGCCAAACACCTGAAGAAGGGAGTTCACATTCTTGTGAACTTTGTCTGGAAGTTTGTGGACTAAATCAAATCTTCACCAGTTTGCTTAAGTCCAAATTAATGCAGAGACTGGACAGCTATATGGAGTTTTAATTTCTGTTCACGCTACAAAGGGAAGAGAGGCTGAACTACCTGTGTTTGCCTAAGAGCAGCCACAGCTGCAAAGGCCTGGGAAATTCATTCCACATCCCTCTTTTTTTCCATACCCTTTATTGACAGGCTCTAGTTCGCTGCTGGGTGCTATGCATTTAGGGTCTGTTACCCTCACATAGGTTTCTTCTATATTACCCATATTATTTTAAGTTGATTATCTGTTGGGCCCCTTGAACCCGCTTATCTATGGATTTTTCCTTAACATAACTCAAAACCATCTCTCTTTTAGCATACAGATTTTAAGTGTGAAAGTATTAGTAGCAATATGAGCTACTCATTACCTTTTGTTTCCAGCTCAGGGAAATTCTGGAGTCTGTTCCTCATGCGATTTACAGTTTGAACTTTAAAGACAACAGGGACAGGATGAGGCCCCAGGGAATTCCACATTTCCTCTGGTATCTTCTCACCAACATTGTTCCAAACAACAATTACCTTGTGCAGGTGGGGAATGGCTTGATAATGATTTAAAAGTTTTAGCAGTAAGTCAGTTCTATTGTATGTCTGCATAATAAGAGTAAATGAATCCAAGGCAGACTGACTCTGAGTTTTTGGTTCCCTTCTTGAATTGGGCATTTTGTCATCTTTGATATTGGGAAGCAACGCTGTTAAAGCACCTGCTACAAGAAGCAAGACAATGATCACCACAGAAGTGAAGCGAAGTAGGCGGATTCCCATAACTCTTCCTGGAAGCTTACAGAAGTGAAAATACCTTAAAAAACAGGAAAGGAAAAAACTATCAGTCCCATATACATACCTCCCTTACTCAAAAATCCCACAGTATTAAGTAGACTTTTAAGTAAATAAATAAGGAGGATTTGGGGGCTTGGCCCAATTACTTTCATCTATCAAGAGAGATACTTCTGGTACTCAGTTTCTAATGTTCATTTGATTTTCATTTCCACAGTTATTTTTATTCTACAGTTAACTTTGAATTTCACTGATATGTGGAAATGAATCTAGAGTCATACTTTAATTCTAGATTGTATATCATCTCTTTCCATTTTCTCAATACTGCATTTTTAACTAAACATTGAGGTACCTCACCAAACCCATCCAGCTGAAATTAGAAAACAAACTTGTACAGAGCTTAACTTCAGTATTTTCAGCATTGCAGGAACTCTGCCTTAGCCAGGAAATAAAAGGGAGAGAAGGTACCTCCTCAACAGCACTGGCAGAAAAGAGGAAGTAAAACGCTCCTCCTTGTTTCACTGCTCAGGCCCCATATTCAGAAGGAACAATCTCAGTCACTGGTTTGCTGGACATTCTGTCAATATTTTTTTTATATGCTCAATGATGGTTACGGAATGTGGGAAATACTATCCCGATCACATTAACTGAGGCTGTAACATAGGTGGAGCAAAAGAAATACGCCAAAGGGAGTAACGTAGGAATGCAGCAACAACAGTATCAGAGCCAGTCTGCTAACCCTGGAGATCAGCAAAAACTGGAAACGTGAGAGGCTAGGTACTATCTTATCAGCTGACTGGAGGACAGTCTTAGCATAAGGCAGGGGTTTCTGGATCCTCATGGTTTGGAGACTGAATAGGAGCTCTCACAAAGGTAGTGCTGACTGCTGTGCCTCTTCTCAGTAGCATTCCCAGTCCTCCAGAACTTTATAAATTGTAAACTCAGCAGGATCCAGCAGCCATTGCATTGCATAGTTTTCTCCTCAAACGATGTGTCATGCACATTTGTTCTTCACTGTTACTCCTAAGACAGGTATGAATCAGATCAAGATCAAAAGTCTAAGCTTATTCATCTGTAAATATTATTCATGCCACTCCATTAGTGATTTTTAGGATTTCAGTAGGAAATTCTGCTTAAATTAAGTGATCCAGGTCAGCCTCATCAATTATGTCAGTTTTGATTATTCTTTTCACAGTGCCTATACCTGAAAACATGAACGTAAATTATTTTAGTCTAAAAGAGCTCATCTTACCTCATTGTTGCCAAGTAGGATTGTTTTTCCCTCGCTTTGTTTTACAAAAGGGCAGTTGTTTGTGATATTTTAATCTGTTGGAAATTAAAGGGACTTTATTACTGAAGATCAACAGTTATCAAACATGGTACCCAATATCCTTTTGCAAGCAGACATTCTTCTCAGTCACTGACGGATGTACACATTTCTTCGCAAGTATCCGGTCCTTTTTGCTCTTGCCCCGTTGAATAATTGTCTCTGCCTTTCAATGATCTCTACAGAAACAGGTTGTTAAACCAGTTTGTTCAAACAAACAAACAAAAAAACCCAAGAAGACCAAACATACAATACAGCATATTTCTCTTCTTGTTAAATTGTTGTTTTGTATTATCATAATGCTTATGTGTTCCATCCCTAGGGTCAACTGCAGAGGTAAAATAGGTCTCTCGAATCTCCATCCAGTGTCCTGTCCGCTAGGCACCAATAAAATACATATTTGGCTACCACAGCCAAGCAAGTAGTCTCAGTAACAATTCCTTTCTTTTCTGGCTCATCACCTTCAAATTCTCTCTCCACCAAGTTTACCAGTTGCATTAGAGCTTTAAAACATGGTATTTTGATTTTTCTTATCTGGTCTGTCAGCAAGGCAAAGGGAATAGAAATAGGAGTGTAAGCACAAAAGGTAAGGATGCACAAGATGCAAGACCTAAGAAACCTAAGAAACCTAGGTTTGTTAAGTTTCCTAGGTTATTATAGGGATTTTTGTTCTTTAAAACTAGTGGAACAAAGAAAGTGAATATTTATTTTTGATTTAGGAGTGGACCTATGAAAACATAGAAAGTAAGCACTTGAATTTAATAATTGAACCCATTTCAAACTTCATGAGAGCAATTTGTTTGAGGTTATATAAACTTTGTGCTTAAAATACAGAATTTCCAACTTGTGTGTATACCAATTATGTATCCATATGAATATGTCCATAAATACAGGACTTCCCAAGGTTAAGTTCCAGTATTACCACTGACTTACTGTGTGGTGCCAGAGAAGTCATGGGAGCTACTTCCAGAAGCTGGTCACAGGTTTTGGTTCCTTCATTGTACAGGTGTACAAATTGAGACGCTGTCATGCCTAACTTCTAACAATGAGTGGCAGCTGTTCAGCACTTGTCAGGTCCAGCACATCTCCATCACAAATTGATAGACCCAAAATCACGCGCTTTTAAAAAGGTGAGCCTTAGATTTTCTTCCCTCGTTTGCAAACTAGATAGAAGGATGCTCACCAACATCATTGTGATGAACAATTAGTTAAAATTTTAAAGTACACTGAAGATGAAAATGTACATGCTGTTTATTGTGGTAATAAAATGTCCTGGCTTTCCATACATTCTTGCGCTTACTCAATTGCTTACAATGGGCTGTAATAATAAGTAAGGCTGGTATTATTATACAGTCTCTATTTAAAATGAGTCCCTATATAAAATGTTTAGAGTTAGCCTCATGGCACCTTCTAGTAAAAACGCGCTGATTAGTTTAGCCAATTAAGTAACAAGATTGTAATACAAGATTGACCACTTAAAAAATTGTCGAAATACTCCCTGTAGAGAATACCTCTTGAAAGAAAATTGATGAGAACAAATACTCAAAGTCAAAACACAGTATTTTAATCCTGATTCTAAGAAAGGCATTCCTCTGAAGGGACCACCTCTCCTGTCCGCCCCTTCGTGGACAGCATCTCCCATTTCATACTCATTACGTGCTGCCCCCTAACAAAACGAACAGCTTCACTGCAAACGCGGTAGCAGACCGCCCTCCCCGCTCGCCGCCCCAGCCCAG